TCCGTTGTTAAATGTAATGGAGACTAATGACTTGACCAATAAGTATTTTTTGTGAGTATGTAAAAATTTTGTCTTTAATTTTCTAATCGGGCATGAACTTTTGCAATGGTCTAATAAGAATAAAACACGACTTGCTAGCTATGTATGGGAAGTAATAGAAAAAAGATCCCATTGTTGAATAGGAAAATAAAACTTGTGCATTCAGTATAAAGAATGGATTGAGAAGGTTGTTCTCGAAGGAAAAGTTGGCGATTATGAAATACTCCGATCAACATAAGTTACTAAATGAGAGCTCGGAGGTGATGACGACATGCAAGCAGAATGCTCCACTTAGCAAATTTTGAGTCAGGTTAAAAATTCTTATATTCATGAAAAATTTTCCCTCTCTGTCTCCCCCATCAGCAACAGAAGCAGGTGTATATATGTATATGAGTGTTTTAATATCGAGGTAGGACGGAAAGTGCCATATTATATATATCATCAGTGCCTGATGATATAAGGGGTGGCGAAACCGCAGTAGCAGGCGAGATTGTTTTTTCTGTAAGTTTTATATCTTAAACTGCTCTGCATTTCGTTAATTGCATTTGCATTGAGCGCTTTTCATTCATTTAACCGATTTTTTTTTGTTTTTTTTTGACAAATAGTTAATTTGTTCGTTTGTTTCTAATTAAATTATATTATATCATATAGATAGAGTCGGCCCGTATTTCCTCCAGGGAGGGAAAGTCTGATTGGGAACTCCGGGCATTGATTTGTGACCATCTCTATCTTATAAACATTTGCTTTTTTTCTACCTATCTTTATATACGTTTAACAGTTTCTTTTCTCGCTTGTGGTACTACTTTCAGGGTCCATGCTTTCCAACTAAATTTAATCTGCAAAAATTTTAAATGCAATGTCAATCGCTATTTACTGTCCTCCTGGTTACTCTTTTCTATTTCCGCTCATTGTTTCTGTTCCCAATTTTTCCACAGTCAGTAACCCATTGTGTCTTAGGCTGTTATACCTTTTTTTATTTTCTACAAGTATGTTTCCGATGGAGTTTGGTAGGTTTCCGTGTGTGTTTAAATTAATCCTAATTGAGCTATGGTATGAGAGGTGAAACCTGAGTCTTCATGATAGGCATGTAATTCTATGGTTGATATAATTAGCTATCAATTTGGTTTGATCAGGAACGCAGTTCCTTAAGTGTCATGTGAATTACAAATAATATGGGTTCTCTGTTATTTACATCTTGTTTATTGCTGATGATAAGGTTAGCTGTTTTAAATTTTTTTATAGTAGCTAATTAATTTAATTTTCTTGTTCTGATCGACTGGTGTTGAGTATTTCTTTACAATGTTTCTAAGAAAATATTCATCTTGCTTATAGTTAATGTGTATTTGTCTCTTATAGAAAATGTTAATGTTACGGTTTTTATCTATATGTTCAGTATTGTTATTAGTTACTTTAGAAAGAAATAGTCTAATCTGGTGATCAATGAAGTTGTTAGGAAAACCGTTGTTGACTAGCGTCCGTTTCACATTATTGAGTTCTTTAAGGAAAAAGAGTCGAGAGGATGGATTCTCTTAATCAGGAAAAACTGGGATTTATATTCTTGGTGGGCAACCAGTCTAGGAGAAGGAAAACTCTGTATTCAAACCACCTGCTGTCTTTTAAGTCTTGCCTCTTTAACTTCTGAGAGGAAGGACGGGATGACCTAAAGATATCCGATACAAATGAAATCGGGAAGCCATTACACTATTCTGCTTTGAATGTCACCGTGAACCACAATTGTGGGGTGGAGGGAAGTGGTGAGCAAAGCGGCCAAAAATGTGCTAGCTGAATAAATGATGAATGAGTTTACTATGGAAACATATTGTAAATGATTTCCAAATTGAAAAGGAAAATATATTCAGTATTTGAAAGCAATACGAAAATAGAATAAAGTTGTTAGGTTCTGTTTTACCCCACTTGACTTTACTAAAAAAACGTCGCTAGGGGACGCTTCTTAAGCTTATGAATAGAAAATGATATTCTCACTCATCTAGTTTTCTTTTTTTTCTCTCTTAGGCAATAAAATATAGTCGCACGTGGTAAAAAGTGTCCCCCCCACAGGGGAACGTTCACTTCACTTTCAATTACTTTTCTCTTAGACTTCTACATAAACTTCATACACACAAACACATTCTCTAGTTTAAATGTTTTCTAGGTAATTAGAGTTTTCTTCTTTTATTGTCAGTGTATACTTTTGTTGATGCATATATTTTTGTCTGTTTTACTTACTGTTTTGTGTTATCATTTATTACTCGGACTCACATTCGAGTCCGCATTAACTGTTACGGGAAAAATATATCAGGAGACACATGTTTTCTACATAAACACAACATTCCCGCAAGAAGCTACATCATCCCCTCCATTCTTTAAAGTTTTTACTAGCATCAACTAAATATAAAATTCTGTGCTTAATTTATTTAGTATTTAAATATTTTATTATAAGTTAGCACTATAAAATCTTGTCATCGATAAATAAATCAAGAATTAGAATATCATGTTTTATGCAAAAACACCAGCAACTTTCTCAGACGTTTCCAATTTATTCATTTATTTGACTCTCTTATGAGTTCACCGACATCAAATAAGCTGTGAAGAGATCTGAGGATGATTGCATGACTGATGTTGGGAGTTATCCGTTGCAAGTTAGCGCTCTTTAGAGAAATCGTTCCTTGATAGAAATTTTGCTGAAGGATATAAGAAAGCCAACTGCGAGTATAGATTTTGATATGTCTAAAGTCAGTTGGGGGCATTAGATATCAAAAACACCTCCCCACATCACAAACCTAGTTTGGAAGTTCAATTCCAACTCTTCTGTCATACATTTAATAACATCAGATCAGTTGTTTGTCTATATTTCTGAGATGAGGTATTATGTACAGTATTTACATTAGTCGGACTATTGTCCTCATCTTTGTCGCCATATTTGTCACAACGTTTCGGCCGTTGTACGCTCCGGCCTTCTTCAGGTCCTCCGGTGCTCAAGGACACATGGCACAGTGGATAAAGGCGTTGGTTAGATCCAGTGACAGACCCAAAGAAGGTGAGTTCAATACCTGGTTAAGGCAGGGGAGAACTTTCAGAGGGAAAATTAGCAGGAGATAACTGATAACTGACATCCATCAAACATGGCACGTGGAACTAGAACAGTCTACCCCAGTGATCGAAATAAAGGGTTCAGTTCGAAATTCCAACCACCTGAAGAAGGCCGGAGCGTACAACGGCCGAAACGTTGTGACAAATATGGCGACAAAGATGAGGACAGTAGTCCGAATAATGTAAATACAGATCAGTTGTTCTACTGAGCTCTTCTCCTTGGTGTCTCGATCGCATGAATTTACGCGTAATACTACCTTGCTTAGAACGTTTCAACATTTTACTGTTCAAAAAAACTAGATATAACCGCAAATTCTATTCTGATAGTTTCTTTTACTTGTTACTCCCTTTCGATTTCTTGATTCGCTGTCACCTAAAATTGTTAAAGAATAAAAATGCAACGTCAATCGCCATCTTCTCTCTTCCTCAAACCTGTTTTTTTTTAGCGTCCTTTCTTCTTCCTAAAGACTTCTCATTCTTTTTTCACCCATAATAACCCTCTTACGGCTTAGTTGCATCATCGCCTTGCCTGGGGTGAAATGATTATACATTGGAGCAGCAATTTCTCTTTTATACAAGTTTTATTAAAAACGATTGACAAGGAACTGCAGTTCGTAAAACAAGGCTTATTTTGAATGTTGTCTGTCTTGGGTAAGACGATAAACTACCTCCGCGTCCTGGGTAAGACGATAAACTACCTCCGCGTCCTGGGTAAGACGATAAACTACCTCCGCGTCCTGGGTAAGACGATAAACTACGTCTAACAGCAAGGTGTCTAATCAGGAGGTTTTGAAACCGCCTCTTAATTGTTGGTGTTCCCATTTCCACCCTGATCCGGGGTGGTCGCAACTGTTAGAGTCCCATCTATGGGCAAATAGTTACCCCCCAAACGGGGATTAAAACACTATGAAAGTGTAAAAATAGGATTTAATACTAGAAATACTTTGTAAAAAATATTACCTGCAATAAATTTTTGAAGAAAAGTTATTACCAGCAATTTATTATTACCAGCAATACATTTTGTAAAAATAAAATATTACCAGCAATAACAAAAAAAAAACAAAAAACAAACTTGTCGGCATTAAAGAACCCATTGAGGTTGATATGGCGTAAACCAAACCAAACCAAACCAAACCGAATGTTGTAGTGTTACGTTCCTGGTTGTCTGTCGGGTCATGTAATTTAATAATTGTGTATTTGGGTATCTAGGTTTTACTTTATAACCAACACTCTCAAGTCGGTATCCTGCAAAAAGTTGACCGATATTGACAATCAGTAATTCTCTTGGGGAAAGCATAAGGTAGGGGCTATCACTGCAGACACGATTACTAATGCCACAGCTCTCCTACATCATCTAGAAAATGATTCCAACGATGCTGGACTCTAGGGCAATACCTCTAAAACTGAATTCATAGTCTACAACCAGCAAGGCTCAATATAAACTGAGTCAATATAATCTGTTGAATCTTTTACATACCTAGGAAGCGAAATAAATTCTACTGAAAAGGATGTGAAAATTCACATAGATAAAGACTAGGCGGCCTTGAATAAAATGGTCGTAAATTAGAAATCTGATTTGCCAGACAATCAAAAACGGGGATTCTTTCGGGCCACTGTAGAGGAGGATTTTATGGTGCCACTGCTTGGACATTAACCAAAATGTAAATAGTGTAAATATTTAATAAGTGTGATTTAGTTTCACATCAAAATAAGCATAAATTGTATGAAGACTATATATTAATTCTATGAATATAAATAAACCTTCCTCGCTAAAAAAAAGCAAACAAATGCGTAAATATATGAAGCGAAACAAAATTTAGAAACATTTACACTAAAACTGTTTCATTCTCATCTAATATTGTAAAATTTAGCAGTCGATATTTTACGTGTATTATTTTAAAAATTGAATCTATCTATCTATCTATCTATCTATCTGTCTGTCTTAATATATATACATATACCTACGTTCGAAAAGCAAATTAAGTCTCGTTGCACTTCCAAAATAGATATATGTATATTTATTAATATATACTTCCTACTCTGTCTAACATTGAGCACTGATTTGTTTACACCTTAAATTAAATTGAATATATAGTTATTTGCTTACATGTGTATGCACGCACGAATATACGGTAGCTAATATCTAGCTATTTGATATAACCACGTCAGTACCTATATATATATATATATATATATATATATATAGAAAAAGTTTCAAATTAAAAATTATAATGTTTTATTTTATGAAAGTATTTATTTATTTATATATATATTTGATATTTCAAATTGTCCTCAATTTTTCATCAGAAATAACTGTTTGTTACAAATAAATTAAAATTACTGTTTGTTGGCAAGTAGCGTCCTTCGCGAGACGCGGACGTCACGTGATATGGAACGTCACTATTCAGATATTCCTAACTTAAATCTAACTGTCATAAATATTTAAAAAAAAATTTTTTTACTATATCTAAAGAAATTGCTTAGCTATTGAAATATTTATAAAGATTTAAAACACCTAAGTCCCTATTCAACCCTAATTTATGTGTATTTAATTTTAAAATCCAATATGTTTCTTTTTTTCTGCGTGTGAATGTGGAAGTAAAATCGGAATCTATTAATAAACATTTGCAGTTTTCTCATGTGTGTCCTGATTGATTGTAGTGTTTAGCTATGGGGGAATAAGGGTTGTTTTGACGTATTGTTTGTTTATGGTTATTAAAACGAAATCTAAAATTGTTTCCAGACTCACCAATATATCCACTATTAGGACATAAGTTGCAGAATAAATAATAGATTACGTTATGGGTATCGCAGGTGAGGTTAGGTGGCTGTATCCTGATATTGGTGTTGGGTACGTAAAATGTATTAGCTATTACTAAATGTTTGCAAACTAAGCAACGAGGTTTGTTACATTTGTAATTTCCTGTTTGGTTTCTATTGTTTAGATATTTGGTAGAGGTGAGGATAGCTGATAAGTTAGGTGATTGTTTCATTGCATTTATGGGTGGTTTATCGAAAATGTCTTTTGATCTTGTTGTCTAATTGGAGGTTCTTGTAATCATTTTTTAATTTATGAATAAAGTGTGGGAATATTGATTGTGGTTAAAAACCATGGGAATCTGATTGTTGTTTTTATTTTTCTTGTATGTGAGAAGTGTGTTACGATTTATCAGGATAGTTTTATTTAGTGCTTCTTTTATTATTTTTATTGGGTATTTGCATTTTAGGAATTGTTTTGTTAAGTTATTAATATTGTATAGAAAATCTAAATGGTCTGAGCATATGCGTTTGGTTCTAAGAAATGAGCTGTATACAATAGATTTTTTTTAATTTAAAGGGGATGACAGCTGTTAAAGTGCAGGAATTTATGTTGGTTTGTGGGTTTGTTGTATAGACTGGTAGAAAGTGTATGTTTGTTTAATTTTATCATAACGTCTAAGAAAGGGATGGATGTGTATGAGTGCTCCATGGTAAATTTAATTGTATCGTGGAAATTGTTGCAGAAAGTGAAAAGGTTTTTAATTTTTCTGATCCATGAGTCCATAATAAGAAAAATGTCATCAATATATCTAAAGTAATGTGATGGTTTATATTCCGAATTGTCCAGTATCTTCTTTTCTAGAATGTGCATAAAGATATTAGCATAACTAGGTGCCATTTTTGTGCCCATTGCTGTGCCACTAATCTGTAAATAGTGTTTGTTGTTGTATTTAAAATTATTATGTGTTAAGATGAACTTTATTAATTGGCATATATCTGTAATTTGGTAGTTAGGTAATTTTTTGTTACTAAGGAACTCATAGCAAGCTGATACTCCTTCAACATGTGGAATGTTCGTGTAAAGGGACGAAACATCCATCGTTACTAGGATTGTATCATGGTGGACTAAGTTAATGTTTTGTAATTTGCTGAGAAAGTCAGTAGTGTCTCTAATATAACTAGGTATGTCAGGCAATAAAGGTTTTAGGATATTGTCTATGTACCCAGATATAAGTTCTGTGAGGGTGCCAGTGCCTGATATTATGGGTCTACCAGGTGGCATGATTTTAAGGGTTTTTGAAATTTCATAGATGTTCTCTTCATTATTTGATTGTGTAATTTGATGTGGGTCGGATGAAAAAGTGTTAGGGTGTTTTTCTGAAATGATTTTGGGGAGTTTATGTAGTTTTGGGATAGTGTAGAATGTTGCTGTTTTAGGGTTCTCAGGAATAAGAGATTTTATGATATTTTTTATGTTGTAGTTCAGGTTCTGAGTGAGAAGTGATAATTCTGTTTTGAATGTGCTAGTTGGGTCTAGAGGTAAGGGTACATAGAATCTGTTATTTTGAAGTTGTGATTCTGCTTCTTTAATGTAGTGGTTAGTTATTATGAAATATTATGCTATATATATATATATATATATATATAACCACGTCAGTACCTATATATATATATATATATATATATATATATATATATAGGTACTGACGTGGTTAAATCAAAAATATATATATATATATATATATATATATATATATATATATATATGTGTGTGTGTGTGTGTGTGTGTGTGTATATATATATATGTATGTATATATGTGTGTGTGGGGAGGTGCGTGCGTGTTTGTATGATTTATAATAGTATCCGAAGAAAAGTGAAAATGATGAGTCAAAGGAAAAATTTATAAACGACGCGTTTCACCGGAACGTCTGCTCTCTGTGGGTTCCTCAGGTTAGAATAAAAGAAAGACAAAACTGAATGTAAGAGAAAATGTCTTGAGATTTATGAGGATAAGTAGTAAACATAAATTAAATTAAATTAGATATCTTATTACCTCCAGAAACTCAAAAGAATGTCTGAACGTCTGTTTATCTTGCGAACAGACTTAATAAATATCAAGATCTTTTAAAAAAGTTTACATTTTTATGTTAATCACAAACTAATCACCTCCAAGAATGTTGTTCAGAACTGTCTCTCTTTCTTTCTCTCTCTCTCTCACTCTCTCTCTCTCTCTCTCTCTCTATATATATATATATATATATATATATATATATAGATAGATAGATAGATAGATAGATAGATAGATAATATTAGTGGTAAATATAGACATTCATATGCAAAATATATAAATATATATACATAGGTGCATACACATACATGTATATTTTTTGAATAAAAAATTCCGAGGGGATAGAATCCAGGTAGAACTCAATGTCCAGGACAGAGTAAGGATATAATAAAATTTATAAAATAAAATTTTATTATATTTTATTATATATATATATATATATATATATATATATATATATATATATATAATAAATTTAACATTTCATTTGAATAATTTGAAGATTATAGCTATCAGGGGGGGAAGCAAGTAAGCGGAAGGGAGTTTCACACACGGGAAGTGCGAGACATGAAGCTATTGGAGTAGAAGAGATGGCTATATTTAACTGTTTTGATAGTGAAAGAGTGGGACTGAGATGCCAGCCGAGTAGCTCGCTCAAATTCATGCATTTTAGGAACCAGTGAAAGTAACTCGTCGGAGAAGTTACCGTGAAAGTATTTGTAGAAAAGACAGAGGGAGGCGACGATACATCTGTGCGAGAGCAACTGTAGACGAGATGCCAGATCAGGACCAGTCACATTGCAAATCTATCTATCTATCTATCTATCTATCTATCTATCTATTCAAACATGGCTGATTAAATGCAACTGACAATTTTTATTAAAATTTTGAATAGGATATTTATTGATTGTTGTGTGAGGTTATTGTCCCTTTTAAGATTCTGCTTGATGACTATGTTTTTTTTCCCCAAGAGAATTAATGCACGTTGTTTCAAATCACTGGTGGATGATTATAAAGATTCGGATATGCAGTCTGGAAAATTGTGGTATTATTTTGTATTTTCTTTAGACTACGGAAATCAAATGCCCCAATTTCCGATTAAACTTTGCTACTGGAATAAAAAAAAAATGCATTATCAAAACTATCATCCAAACAAATAATGACTTTGATGTCACCAAAAGATTTGTACAAAGCATAATCTCTATATAAAAAAACAAACAAACAAAAAAACAAAAACAACAAAAAAAAAAACAGCAAAAAACGCTGAAACCCCTTGTATAAAAGACAGAGCGAAGTCACATGACGTCTATGAGAATGTGACTCGGGAACCTCGAGGTGGTGTAATGGTTAGCAAAATTGTCTCGCTTTAACAATTACAACTGAGTAGTGAGTTCAATCTTCACTGGGTGCCCCTTACTTTCGGCCTTGTGCCACATCTAAGCTACGCTTGGAAAATCACTATGAGAAAGTGACTGAAGTCAAAATGTCAAGTCAAAACCGATTACATTGCAGTATTTTTAAGAATTTTTTTTTCTTTTTACCTGCGAAGAATTCTGAGGATATTAAACATTCGAGCACGCAACATCTGGCCAGGCATAAATATTTCTTTCTGGAGCCAAATTCCAACTTTTTGAAGCGTTTGCTCTTGCGATTTGTTTATGGTTCTCGCAAACGTAGGGCAAACTTGAAACTGAATTCTTGTATATAAAGAAATTAAAGAAAAGATATGCATAAAAACAATATTGCAATACAATATTTTATTGAATAAGTATTTGTTATTTTAATAATTAAATTGTTTTTAAAACAGTGGGAGTATTTTGAATGTTAAATAACGAAACTTTTAATTTCTTCCTACCAAAAAAAAAAAAAAAAAAAAATGAATGAAAATTTATTGCTCAAAGCGATGCACCCAAGTTAAACCATATTTATAGAAAAAGGCACCATTTTGGTGGTGGAAATGTGACTGAATGCGAGATGCCAGGTCAGGACCAATGACATTGCAGGTTCTTTTTGGATTTTATTAAGAATCTCTAAATACGTAGCAGGAGCACAAGAGTTCCAGCGCCCTACGAGGCTGGCATTCCGCTCTCACCCCTCCACTGTCGAAACTCCTAAATGTAGCCGTCTCTTCTACTCTAATAGCTTCATGTCTCGCACCTCTCGCCTGTGGAACTCCCTTCCCTATTCCAGTTTCCCTGAGAGCTATAATATCCAGTTATTCAAGTGTAATGTCAATCGACATCTCCAGTTGCCTTGATCTATCCACTACCCTCATCCTTTCTTCTATCACTCCTATCTGATCTTGCTCTAAATTTTCTGTAACCCCTTGCGTTCTAGTGGCTTCCCGCCTTGCTTGAGGTGAAATGCCTAGTTTAGCATGGCATAGTGAACTAACTTTCCTAGCTACAGACTTAGCAATTGATTTAATATAATCTTCCCGTTTTATGTCAGTGGAAAACATTAGTTCGAGAAGGCGCAATGAATCACTCTCCTGGAGGTTAGCATCAGCCATGGTGATAGAAGATAAAAATCTCTTGTTTATTCTTTAATTCCATATATAACATATAAACATTAATTTTTTATTCTTTATTTTAAAGCTTTTAAAGATCACTGGGCAACATTTTTTTTAAGTTGTCTATGTTTTTCCAAATCATTTAGGACAATTTTTCACTGCCGAATCAGAAAATGGCAGCTGTTTCTCTCGATCAGGTCATGTTTTTACGCTAAGTTAAGTTTTTAAAAATCCGATCTTCTGACTATTTAGCCTGCTACAAGTAAAAGAAGCAACCGCTATTCTTATCCAGAGCTTTAGTGAACTGCTTGATCAAGCCGAACTTGATGTGCAGCTGTAGGAAAAGTATGCTGTCTCTTTCTACCAGAGGTTTATTGTTGATGTTCGTCGCTCTGCAAGGCATCAATTCCTTCTGTGTTTCACCATAACAGTTATTTAATGCCGGTTACATTTCTGCGACATTATCGATTGAATTTTGTTAATATTTCTCATAAGAAATAAGTTTTTAAGAGAAAAAGTTTCTTGTAACACAATTTATTAATTAATTGTTACAAACATCGATTACAATAAATTGAATAGTATACAATGATAAATGTAAGTACATGTGAATTGCATGTTACGTCATCATTATTTATTATTCAGGGCTTGAATTTCCGTTTATTCGAACCCTTAGAATGATCATTGGCAGGGTCATCTCTCTTTAAAGTCCAGCAGTAATCAGCCATTATGACTGCATCACAGCGCCGCTGATACATGCTATCCATCTCTTTCATGTCCTGATGGAATCTCTCCTGTTTGTTGCTCATTGATCCCAGATTCTCAGTAAACCGATCCATAAGTGAGAATAAAAAATGCATTTTTATGCTCATATTGCATCCGAGGTTTTTGAAAGCAGTAGGCATATTGATGTCAAGTTCTGCGTAGTTCCTGGCCTTGTTGTTGCCAAGAAAGTTCTTCACGAACAGAACAAAAGCCTTCCATGATTCCAGTTCCACTTTGTACATTGAGTTTTCAAACTCTGTATCTCTGATGAGCTGACGGATTTGAGGATCATCAAAGATGCTAGTCTTAAACTTCTTCATCGTCAGTTCTGGAAAAGTCTGCCACAAGTAAATGAAGCAACCACTATCCTTATCCAGACCTTTAGTGAACTGCTTGATCAAGCCGAACTTGATGTGCAGCTGTGGGAAAAGTATCCTGTCTCTGTCTACCAGAGGTTTATTGCTGATGTTCGTCGCTCTGCAAGGCATCAATTCCTTCTGAATGGGCCAGTCATTTTTCATGTAATGTTGAGCAGTGTCCCTAGTATCCGACATGTACAGAAAGCATAGATACTTGGTGATTGGTTTGTTTTTGGTTTGTTTTGTTTTACGGCATATAAATCTCAATTAGTTATTGTTGTGGAGTGATTTGAGGCTTGTATTTGTACTAAATCGGTCCTAAAATAGGTTCGACGTACAAAACGTTAGGAACTTGATATAATAGAGTAGTTGTGGTCGCTGATACTTTCGTATTTGACTAACTGTCGTCCGACATCGACTGACCGACTGACTATATTTAGTCACGCACCCCCCGTGGGCATCATGTGGCACAAGGCCGGTTTAACGTGGGATCTCCGAGCCCATGGGCTCGGTCAAAAATATGCCCATTGAACCCGTATAAATAGGTTCAGGGTCGGTTTACTTCCCCGAAACAGACTCCGCCCTTCGGCGTAGCCTCCTTCGGGTTCCTCCCCGCCCGAAGGCAGAGAGTTCAACCGATCAGCCGGTCGACCGAGATCGACTTGAACGACTGACGATATTCAGTCACCCACCCACTGGGGCGTCATGTGGCACAAGGCCGTTTTTAACGTGGGATTTCCGAGCCCGTGGGCTCGGCCCCAAAATATGCACATTGAACCCGTATAAACAGGTTCAGAGCCGGTTTACCTCCCCGAAAGAGACTCCGCCCTTCGGCGTAGCCTCCTTCGGGCTCCATACGTAATACGTAATAAATACTGCGCCTCAAGAGGAAGCAGGGAGTTCAGTCTGAAGTCTGGAGTGAAGTCCGTCAGGAGTCTGTCAGTCAGTCAGAGCGAGAGAGTCAGTCAGTCGAGTCAGAGGCAGACCGAAACATAGTCGCGGTCAGACAATTACTACTAAACCTGATTGTTCGTAGTAACACTTTCTACTTCTCTGTATATATTCCTGTTTGTAATATATCTGTGTTATTCCATAACCGTGTTCGAGTTCTTCTTTATTGGTTCTACCTTGGACCGTCACCGTGGTGCAAGGACCGGACCATAACACCATGTTTAATGCCAAAATAAAGAGTCAGGATTCGATACAATAATATAAAATGTGGGACTGTTCATAATTTGGCATTTTAAAACAATCACGCAACATTCATCAAAAGGATAAAATCATGTATAAAAAAATATTATTAAGAAATAACATTAATTTTATATCACATGAATTCAAGCTGGAATATATATTTAGTTGAAATGTATTGGATGAGTAATGTCTTTTTTTCTGGTTGTTGAAAGAGTTCATATGTAGAGTACAAAATGTATTGCGTACGTATGTGGGAAAGGTGAAATGTCGTTACTAGTATGTTTATGTGAGATAGTATGTGTATGCGTCCATAGCAGTAATGCGTATCAAGTAGATAGATAGGTTTAAGCTCTTATCATTGACGACGGCGCCGATGTCTGAAGGCAGTTCGTTTGGGGCTTGGTCAGTGCTGCTGAGTCGTTTCTTGATAGTCTGTACAGAAGCGAATGAACTCTTGAATATCAGTAGTTAGAGTGACATGACCCTTAGTGGAATCTGAGAGACTCTGTTGTTGAGGACAGACATCATGATTATTATACCGTTATTCCTAAGAAATTGGCTTCTGAATTATATAAATTTATTTAATCCTAATTGGCCCCCAAAATCACGTAGCATGCTTTCTACTACGTCCGCGAGACATTTTGGCGGTATACCTAAATTATAACGACTAATAAAACAACCTTTCTGATTTGTATTCTGTGGTTTTGTATTGTACAGTTTAATTGGTGTGTTTTGAGATGCAAGCATTTTATTGCGTGTTATTGGTTTATACATATTTTGGAGGCGTGTTTTAATATTTATGTCGGTATTTTTAGCTGAAAATACTTCTGATGGGTTAAAATTAATAAGTTTATAATTGACATGATAATTAGTGTTATTGCGTGAAATATGTTGCATATTTAGGTATTTTAATGTTTAAATATAAATTTAGTATTTTAATGACAATGTAAAAAAAAAAAACAGAAAAAAACATGGGGCCATAACTCAAAAAGTTGACCTAATTGAACAAGTCCAATGTCGTTTTTGAATTCA